TGGGGTAGGTACGTTTGAGAAACCGGCTCGAGATCGCTAGAATTTGAAAATACACAACCGGAGAAAATCTGCCACTTCCTTATAGAGCCCCTCCTCCAACACACACGAACGCGCACATGACCAATGAGGGCACGAGATAAGTTTGTGCACAGGTGGAAGGCTGACAGGCAGGTAGGCCATCCAGTTATTTTAGCCGGGCCGGCTAAAATGATTGGTCGTACTTTTTACAGTATTACGGCTTCCACAGATGACATTTTTTTATGGATTTTTTGTCAAAGCACTTAAGATATTCATTGCTATCGGGATGTTAAGAGCATTCCATGGAATATAACAAAAAGTGTATCTCGAGCCGGTTTCTCAAACTTACCTACCCTACCTTTAAGACAAATATGTTGGTTTATTTAAGATATTTTAGATATTTTAGCTATTCTAGAAATGGGGTTTTTCGGTTGGTTCTTTCTTTTTTGGTTACTGTGAATATCTACAGTACAGTACATTGTTGGTTACTGTGAATATCTACAGTACATTGTTGGTTACTGTGAATATCTACAGTACATTGTTGGTTACTGTGATTATCTACAGTACATTGTTGGTTACTGAGATTATCTACAGTAGCCTACATTGTTGGTTACTGTGAATATCTACAGTACATTGTTGGTTACTGTGATTATCTACAGTGCATTGTTGGTTACTGTGATGTTCTACAGTACATTGTTGGTTACTGTGAATATCTACAGTAGGCTACATTGTTGGTTACTGTGAATCAGGGTTTCCGCTAGGATTTTTTCTTGCCGGTCAAATGTCCGGAAAGAGTTTATTTTACCGGACAAATTTGAAACGTACCGGTCCCGGTCATGTTTCAATAATAATAAGAAGAATTGTGTAGCTGAGTTTCTGTTAGCAGGTAATTACCGGACTATGACCGGATATGCTGATGTTTAAAACTCAGTTAATGGGGCTCATTTTTATATTGCTTCAGTTTATAATCATAACAGATCGAAAAGTTCAGATTCATTTTTCAATAAATGATGCGCTTCCACAAACAACAAACAACATAATTATTACATTCAAACAAACTACTTATAGTAGATAACGTACATTATTCAAAAGTTTACATTCACTTTGGATAATAACACGGGAGAAACGGATCCTCTTTTCCTCTCTCCCTCCCTCTCTCTCCTGACAGCCCGTCAGTTTCTCATGCAGCTCGCTAAACAGTGGGCGGGGCTTCAGGTGATCATGCAGAGCTGCGTGTCTCTGTCAGACTCAGCAGCTGATCTGATCTCTCTCTCGTCCGGTTATACTTCACTCGCTTTTATGTCCATATCGATCAGATCCAGCTCTCCTGATCGGCCTTTATAGAGAGCAGCGATCAAACTATTAAGAGTGAATATCGGCCGATAATGATCGGCGGTCAATCGATCGGAGCATCCCTAATTATTACCGGCCATTTTGACCGGCAGGTTTTAAATGTACCGGTTTTTAATACATTTTACCAGCTAAAAACCGGTAATTAACGGCTAACGGAAACCCTGCTGTGAATATCTAGTACATTGTTGGTTACTGTGAATATCTACAGTACATCGTTGGTTACTGCCCTGCTGAAAAAACCAGCTTAGACCAACAAGGCTGGTCTGGCTGGTCAGGCTGGTAAACCAGCCTGACCAGCCAGTCAATATTAGGCTGGATTAGTTTGCTGGTTAAGAGGGGTTTTGGACACTTTAACTGGTCAGGATAGCTGGTTTGGTCACAGTGGTCTAGCTGGTCACCATTAGCTGGTCGGGATAGCTGGTTTAGCTGGTAAAAGCTGGTGGTCACAGTGGTCTAGCTGGTCAGGATAGCTGGTTTGGTCACAGTGGTCTAGCTGGTTACCATTAGCTGGTCGGGATAGCTGGTTTAGCTGGTAAAAGCTGGTGGTCACAGTGGTCTAGCTGGTCAGGATAGCTGGTTTGGTCACAGTGGTCTAGCTGGTTACCATTAGCTGGTCGGGATAGCTGGTTTAGCTGGTAAAAGCTGGTGGTCACAGTGTTCTAGCTGGTCACCATTAGCTGGTCCGACTGGTATGATCTTGAGCAGAACTTTAACTGGGATTACTTGATGGTTAAGCTGGTCATATATGATGATGAAACACTCTCACCCAATTGCAGTAGCTCAATGAACATCTATCATTTCAGATCAGAGCACCTACCTTACCAGAAAGGTACCAGAATGTATAGAATGTCTGTAAATAAATACTCATACATCAAATGATTAGAAGCAGGAAAATAATTTATAACACACAATGAACATTAACACACATTTGAAAACATTTTCAAAACACCCATTACTTCATATTTTTAAGCAGTTTCCTTCAATTGTTTCTTTCCGTTTTTCACAAGGTCCTGTATTTTTTGTGAAATGTAGTAACCGGCCAACTTCTCCCTCTCGGTCTTCTCCACGTTTTGTGAATTCAGCCATCCTCTGAAGCACTCTTGAAAAGAGAAAGGAAAAACAGATTAAATGTTAGCTTTGTGTTATGATTACTTAAAGGGCCCATGTCATGCTTTTCCGGTTATTACCCGTCCCCTTGTGTGTTATGAAGGTTTTTATGCATGTAAACGGTGTGCAGAGTCACAAACCCTCAAAGTACACCCTGTAGCGAGTAAAACTCTAACACAGAAAATACCTCCCCAAAACGCCTCGTTGGAGATACGTCATTGTCCATTTGATTCTTCCATTTCGTTCCGGGTACGGCATGATGTCAAGCCGTACCCGGAACGAAATGGACCAATCCGTGGAGCCGTTACGTTACGTCCGCGGAGCCGTTACGTTAAGCCCCCGCTGATTGGTCCAAATTGACCAATCCACGGACTTCCTCACACACACATCTGTGTGCAGGGAGCAGGCAGCTCAGCTGATTTCTCCTCCCTGGCTGCAGGCTGATAACAGACAGTTGGGATCGCGGCGAAATTCTCTCTGCAGACCCATTCTCACAGCGTTTATCAACCTTTTTCTTACTCAATATCAAGCCACACTTATTGTTTTTACTTCGGCTGTGACTTTGTGTGTGCTCAGGATGAGTTTGGCTGTGTTTGGCTATGTATCGCTAACAAGGAAACAACACCTCCACGGAGCTCAGCGCGATTCACAACGTCCCGTCACACTGTGCTCACAGGGAGGGTGGGGGCTGGAGCTATTGGAGCTACAACGAGCCGTTAAAGGCAGAGAGTGAAATTCAGTGAATACACCTAGTTTACAGAGATGCTGTATGAGAAACCAATGTGAGTTTGGAAAATTGCACAATATAAATCTATTCTAGTATACCTCAACAATGGAATTATGATCAGTGGAAATGGCCATGACATGGGCCCTTTAAATATGTGCACTGTGAGATGAAAAAGAAAAATGTATCAAGTTTAGTTTTGAACATTCACTGTGATTGGGTCTATTGTCCACGCAATACACCGTATTTAATTTTTTATTTAATATTCTGTTCTTGTAAATATCATATTCTATTATATTACACTTTTTGCACTACTTTTTATTTTGTATTTTTGTATTTTATTATATATGTTGCATTGTTGGAGGAGCTCAGGTCAGAAGAATTTCATTGACATTTCTACACTGTAGCTGCTGAGCATATGATGATAAAACCTTTGAATCTTGAATCCAACACTTTGGAAAATCCTAAATTGTAGGATAGTTTGGCCATAATAATGCTTTATGATTACATTTCATGAGAAGTGTATATTTTACTTTCAGAATCTACTTCCAGTGGATGTGTAGGATCTACAGTATGATAGATATATTACTTTACACCCGGAAGTATGTATTGTCATTCTTATTGTCGATAAATTGAGGGATATACACTATATTTTATTAACACCAGTATGTACTTTATACATCCACCTCGAGTGTTTGTCTCTGCACCGGAAATAATTTAATTTTAAAGTTCAACCGCATATTATATAAACTATATCAGCGCCACACCTGCGTAACACATGCTGCCTCTTATCTGAACCATTTTTTAAGCGATTTGTAATCTATTCTTGTCGACTTGCAGCCTAAATACAAAGATAAATCCACTCTCCTACCACTGCTTACCTCTAATGAGCCTTGGTAGAACTAGTGTCCGAGTCATGGGGTCCAGAACGGACTGAAGACATGTGGAACAGAGGACAGGCATGATTCCATGTACAGGGAACTTTTTGAACCTTTCTGCAGCGATAAATAAAGAAAACAAAGAAGACATTATTAATAATAGTAATGATGGTAACAACAATAATATTAGTATAACTATTTATATAGCACTTACACAATTGCAAACTGATTCTCACAACAAAAATAAAGAACAAAACAATATCAACAATAAAAAAACAAATGATTATAGGAATGTTAAGAGACAAAGAAATGATAAACATTCTGAGAGGCCGACTACAAAAGGTAGACTCAATGGCTCTTGATGACATCAATGAGCAGTCCCAATAGATGCTGCTGTATAAAAAGAAATAGAATAGGTCCAGATTTCTTCTATTTTGTGTTGGATGATTTGTTTTATTGATTGCTGATGGAGGTATATATATATAGGGTTTATTCAACAGCAGTAAAGCATTAAGTTGCTAAATTAACGTACACTGAACTGTAAAACAACTTACCACTATTTAGGAAAGGCTCTGATCAGGAGGGTTGACTAGTAGGACAGCAAAGAGGTGGTGTCATGTACAACCATTGGTAGATGTTACACCTGAAAGAAAGATAAAGAAATAAGAGAAGACAGGAGGACAAACATCCTCTTAAGTAAAAGACCAAATCATGTCAAGCTTTAACCTGAGCCTGTTTTTTCAGTCTTTACAATGCACAGTTGGAAAATACCTTCCAAAGGCTACATTCAAACTCAATACCATAAATAACTGGGTACCAAAGTGCTTTACCTGATAGAACACGTTCCACACGGAGCAGCAACCATCCGGCTCGGCCTTTTGCTGCATATCATCTCCTCCCTCTCCACTGTTTCTAGTAGATCTCTACTGTCCAATAAAACTGAAATTCCCCAAAAAATCATATTAAAAAAGTTAAAAACAATAACTTGCTTTTGGCATTGAAATAGATTAGATTAGATTAGAATCTCACCTTTTTCCTGGATGTCAGGAAGGCGTTCCCTTCACGTCCGCAACCAGTCATAGGGGTTCAAATGCAAAGCCTGAACGATGACAAGAGCGAGATTTACATTTTACAATTATATTTTTAATTCATACCAGAGCAGTGTGGACGACATGCAAAGAACAGATCAAATCCCCTGACAGACTCACACACTTTGGTGATGTCCTTATCTGATAATGTTTCATTTTTTAGCAGCAAAGTAACATTACTCAAAGTATATGTATGTTTTGCATCTCCTCAACAATGGTCTGTATCATTGAGTAGAAAAAAACTGTCCCCACAATTTCAGGTAGATTAACACACATTTGTAAGAAAGGTTTACAATGAAGCACAAAAACCCTCTTTGTATTAAGCTAGCTGCCACAGAAAGTACAGCTTAACATGCTAACCTTTGGTGGAGAGCTACAGTTAGCTAACTTCATGTTCAACACAACACCTCTAATGGCATTACATTGACGATTTTAAACAAAACGTAACTCTCTCAACTTGTAAGATAACGTTAAGTTAACTTACAACTTATAGCTGCATCACGTTTTTCAGGGGAAACACAAACTGCAGAAAACGTTAGCTGCTAACTGTTGTTAGCTAAGACAGCTAGCCTCCTAGCAAACGTAAGGTTAAGTTAACATTAACGTAACGTTGTAAGAAAGCAAAACGAACCTTCGAGAAAGCTTTTACTCTCAGACTTGGTGAAATTGTGTAGTGTTGCTTACCTCCAGAAGGACTTTTAGCGCGTTTCCCAGTAGACAGAGCTGTCAGAGCAGTGCCTCTCAGAAGAGCAGCCGCTGGGCGGAGTCACAGAAACGTTCAACTGATCTTCACTCCTCGACCGTTAGTGCCAGTCAAAACATACCGCTTTGTTTCAACCACTGCCGTCTCGCCGTTCCCCCGTGTCCCGCCCTCTCTGTCTGTCTGTGTCTATTTCAGTTTCGCTAGCAAGACTGCTGGTAGACCAGCTTCACCAGCTTCACCAGCATAGACCAGCTAAAACCAGCATAGACCAGCATGACATCCATGCTGGGCTATGCTGGTTTAGCTGACCAGGCTGGTCTTGAACCAGCAAGAACAGCCTGGTAAACCAACTAAACCAGCCTAACACCAGCCTAAAACCAGCTAAAACCAGCTAAAACCAGCTAAAACCAGCTAAAACCAGCTAAAACCAGCAACCATCTTAAGCTGGTCTATGCTGGTTTTTTCAGCACGGTGTGATTATCTAAAGCAGGGGTTCCCAACCCCCGGTCCGCGGACCGGTACCGGGCCGCGGAGGTGTTACTGCCGGGCCGCGAAATAGCTGTGAGTTTATCGTAATATTTGCAGAATTATAAATATATAAAAATATTTTATCATAATATTTTTTTCAAAAAGTGTTTAATTTTCGCACCTATGCCATGTTGGAGTAGAATACCTCTGCTACGCGCCGTTCGTTGGATGAGGCTGGATCTCTATTAAATTAAGAAAGGAATTGAAAACACCGGAATCAAAGTTATAACAAATTATCTGAGTTTACTTCTAGTAGGAAACCAAACACATATACAAGTTATACAGAGTACTCGAGCACTCCGGGCTTTTAGATTTGTGATGCGATTCGGATAAATGCATCGGGACCAGACAAACTCATCAAACGAGAAGAAATTGGACTTCAAGTTTGTGATTCGATGCGGACACAGATATCAGGACCAACAAACTCACCAAACCCAAAAGCAATTTTACACACACAAACATCAGTATTTCTATCTGTCTTTGGGGCGGAGATTTGTCGATTCTTCCTTCCCACTTTTCTCCCAAGCGAATTAGAGAGCCCCTGGAGAGGAGCTGTTTAAACTGACCACCTCCCCCAAGTGCCCTGATTGGCTGGATTCGCTTCTGGCCGAGGTCAATCAGAGTTTTCGAACAGAGTGAGATCCCCAACCACACCAGGTCAAAAGTCAATGTTTATCTTTACCTTATCTTACTCTACATTCCTTCCCAGGGGATATTTTCACCTAAACCATTCTCCCACAGACATTTAAACTCTTCTCCACTTATTTTACGATGTCTTTTAACGACTTAGTGACCGCATCTGGCTCTTAGTGGTGATAAGGATCAATGTTGGTGTGTGAAACACAGAATCTCTAAGTCAGTGAATTTAAAAGTGAGAATAACATTCTTTTTCTAAGTGATTATCAAAACCCGTTTGTGATTACATAAAACAGTTCAAACAATATATGTTTACTTCAATACAGTGTAGAATCATATCTTCTTACTTCAATCCCTCTTTTGATCTCACCTCACGAGATCAACATATAGCATTTGAAACATTACCACTGTCAATTTTCTTCTTACTGTGTCTGTCCCAACATTTATATAAACCCATCAGAAGTTGGGATATAGAGCACTTTAAACCTTTAGGAACAGTCCACAACAACAACTTATTATGACAGTGGAGGGAGAATAAAATATGTCTAAAAAGCAAAGTCCTTGTCAGCTGAGTCATCTTTACTCTTCCCTCAATGGTGGAACTGATGAGTCTAACACACAGTGAGCAGATACAAGGCACACAACAACAACAACAACAACCACATGTCACTAAAATGGCAATAAAAGTAGCCACAGAAATCAGAAAAGACATTATCATACTTTTCCCTCTTTTGGTAACACATAGTTCTGTAGAATAAAAAATACAAATCCCTTAAATTATGGGATATAAAAATAAAGTTGAAAGTTCCTCAAAAAAAAAAAAAAAATGGATTGTTCAGACAAAGTTCCACACCGGCTGTATCAACCTGTTTCAGCGGGAAATGGAGTTCCCTGTGCCGTCTTGGTTTGCCATATCTTCGTCCCCCCAGCCCGCTGACGGCGGCTTCTGGGGTGCTTGCTAGAGAGATGTGGCCTGATTGTCCTCCCCCGGCCCGCTGATGGCGGCTTCCGGGTCGATGCTGGAGAGATGTCCCGATCCTCCTCCTCCGGCCCGCTGATGGCGCCTCCTGGGTCGACTGCCTTGACGAGAGCCATATCTGTTCTGATGTCGTCCAGGGTCCTCGCGACGAGGGCCAACTCTGTCCTGATGTCGTCCAGGGTCCTCGCAGGTGTTTTTCCCGACCGCACACTGGCTCCAGTGGTACCAGTTGTCTCCCTTTCCATCTAGGCGAACGGCATGGGAGGTCCCCTCCAACCAGACGTAATCTGCTATGTTGGCCTTGTGTTTCTCGGGTCCCCCTTTTGACGTCAGCAGCCTGTGTGGAGAAGTCTCATACCAAGCCCTTAAGTTGCTGGAAATATGGTTTTGAAATCATCTTTTCTACTTCTTTAGTGTTTATTGGCGGCACCAACTAGACTGGAGTGTGGACAAGAGACTATGCAGAAAATAATAAAAAAAATAAAAAATTTAAATTTAAAAATTAAAAATTAAAAATTAAAAATTAAACATTAAAAATTAAAAATTAAAAATTAAATATTAAAAATTAAAAATTAAAAATTTAATTTAAAAATAGAACAAAAATAAAAATAAAACAAAAAAAGGAACAAACTAACAAAACAAAAAATAACCAAAGCTAGATTATTTTAAATGTATCAATTTCTCTTAAAAGCAACAAATAAAACAAAACAAAAAATACCATAACTAGTATTTTAAATTGATAAATTTCTCCTAAAAACGTAATAATCTCACATACATATTGTCTGATGTATATCCTATCCTTTTCCCCCTTTTACTGAAATAGAACGCCGTTAACGGTGTTCCCATTTTCAGAAATATCGAGCCTTATACATCAGTTATTTAATATCAGCTATATATTTATTATTACTATTACTTATATATCAGGCATTAAATGTCAGCCTTCTTCCATGATTGACCTCGTCTACATTATCTGACTTATATTGATACGTGTCTGTTTGTATTTATTTAATATACTGGGCAATTTATTGATAACTTTTTTAATCTCCCTCTTTTCTTAACCTGTTCCACTCTGAGCCTGTTTTTCAGGTCTCAGGCTCGAAAATGACATTCCCAGAACAAATGACCATATCTTCCCTTCTAAAAGGGTTACATTAATAATCTTTTCTCAAAGTAATGATAAACCTGTGAGTTGGATGTAGAAGTGTCAGAATCAATATAAATGTTTTTTATTTTAAAGAAAATTCAGATTTTACATAGTAAAAAACTGTAAATTATAGTGTCCGTCCAAAAATTATTTTTTACAGATAGTGAAAACTACCCTTGGATGATGGGTTAGTAGACTAAAAGCTTTAGGAATCCAAAGTACAACATATAATAAGTACCCTGTATCAAGATTGATGCAAAACAAGTGAAATTTGACCTTTTTAGAGAGATTTAGCCAAAAACTGGGCCATCTGGGGTCATTTGGGTGGATTTGACCTATCTCTGGCCCCCCTTGCTCGATCTGGTTGGTTGACATACCCTTGTGACCGTTAGAGCCAATAGAATCGAAGGAGGATACTCACATAGACACACATTGTAAAGAAAAAATGTTGCCGCTTCGCGTGTGGAAAGCGAAACTAAACTGGAGGAATGTCTCCTTCTGGAGTTTGGAAACTAAAACGCAGTTGTATTGCTTATGGATTATCAGAAATAATTTCAAAGAAGGCACAGACACATAGGATGAACCTATGGATTAACTGCAGCATCGTTTTTTTATCGTTTTAATGCCATTGAAGACCACTTTTGACCAAGGTAAGATATATTTACGTGTTTAGCTTCTTAGCTCCACATGTGATGATGTACGCTTTCGTTGATAGCGTCGCGAATGTTTATCACTGAGTGTTGAGGTGGGCACCGTTAGATTCAGTGTCTCCAGGACACCAAAAAATAGTGTTTGGTTGTGCATCTAGGATAAGTAATAAGGGAGTTCTGAGTGAGTTTATGTGCCTTTGTCGGTCCCGTTTTTTCGATCGAGGCTAATTCAGAGGCTGAGTGCTAGCATTGTGGGTTTTTTTTGAAAAAAAAAATTAAAAAGATCAGTTAGCTGAGTTTCTTCCCGTTACATGGATATAACACATTCATAGTTTTATTCAATATTAAGATTCCTTAGACGTTGTTTCCTGCAAATGACGCGTTTATCCGCCCGGTACCGGGGGGAAGGCGTGAAACAGGTTAACAACTGGAGCTATGGCTACTTTGAAATCTGACTCGGTTAAGAGATGATTCGTTTATTGGTGAGAGGCACACTCTTGCCCTCGTGATTGGGTGGGGGTGGATATTTAGGGAGAGTTCCTTACAATCTCCAGATCTTCCTCTCAGTGTAGAGGCCATAAAACCTTTTAATGGGCTCTGTGGTCTGTTCAGATTTAGATTTTCTTCCTCTCCAGAGGTCACGCCTGTCTTTGACCCTGTGTGCTGCTGTGATTCTGCAGCACCTCAGGACAGAGAAAGGGGAGATCTCTTCCCAAAAGTGTAAGCTCCCTTTTGAGCAACATAGCAACACATTAACTCTCCCTGACTCGTTTGTAAAGCGTTCTTTAAGGCCTGAATTGAGTCTTCCGTTGTGTAACGGAAAATCCCATTTCCAAAAAGGGTCAGTTTAATAGCCCTTATCATATTATCGCTCTGTGCTTGCATGCTAGGACCTATTGTCTTTGCCAGAGCTGCTGCTATTCTTTCTACATGTATTAGCTCCATATTAGCAGGGTTCACTAACATGGTTGGTTGATCCAGTTTAAGATTTTCAATATCTTCCATTACTATTTCCAACATTCCTTATCCCTGAATATCAGGTCTAACAATGTGTTTTCCTTTAGGAGTATTAGATGGGATACTCATAAGTGGCATTTGTGAGCCCTTATCTCCGTAGGGTGGAGGTAGGGTCTCAGACATTATACCACCTTCTTGTTGCTCTCTGTCTCTCAAGTATTACACAGATTTGACTTAAAAAAATCACACAGAGCTTCTCATACCTTATCATCTAACAGTCAGGCACATTTTTATTGTGCGATGTTTATTTCA